AAAAGCACAATGCAAAGAAGTGATATATTATAATGCATATTTACAAAGAGGGCGGAAAAAAAAAAGAGAATGGCTGGTTCTTGAATCATAAGCACCTGGCTTTTAATACTCCGGTAATGCACAAACATTAAGTAAGTATTTATGAAAAAAGACAGAAATAGATACAACTCCAACCTAAATGGGGCAGGCTACGCAGGGGTATAACCATAACATGTCACATGACACAAGAATAAATGCTGACCAGCGCTAACAAAGGAAGGAAAGGTGTGGGTATCATTAGCTTTCCCCCAGTTAATCTATGCCTCATTTGGACTGATTGACACTGCACTTTAAAGACAAAAACTAAGTCGTGAAATCCTTCAAATTATCATATTTGACTGAATTTCCATCCCTTGACTTTCCTCCACCTGCAGCACAGTAGACAAGGTAATAATTTATGATAATTATATGAAAATATACAATTAATATTCATCACCTCTCATTTCTCATCACTTTAGATGATCAGTAATGCAGAGTAAAAATGCTGTCAGAGTTCTAATTGCTTTGTAATGGGCCTGAAGTAGGGAAATCGCTAAAGACAAACAATCTGTCACTTGTCTGTTACCTTAACTATCTATCACTTAAAAAAAACCCTCATTAAATACGTTGCTAATGAACGACAAAAGATTGTACTCACTGTGCCCAGATGTACCTTTTTAAACAATATTGTAAATTGCTTAAATAATTCCCAAGACATTTTCAATCATTTTGTGGAAATTTAACGTAAAACATAAATTTCCAGTGCATGTTACATCTCATTTGTTCACATCATTATGACATTTAGTCTATCATATCACACATCTCCTGCGAGACAAAACTTTGCTTTTCTTTTTTACTGTTGACAAATGTGACCCCATTAAAACAAATTCTGGAAGAGCTGAACACTCAGATCTCTGACATACTTCTTTCTCTTAAAAAGAAGAAAAAAAAAGTGTATTAATCAGTTTTTTAAAATCCTACCTCTTTCGAGGATTTTAATATCTAGATTAAAAAAGAAGCCTAACATTGTCCAAAATTGAACAAATTTTTTATCTTCGGTAGAGAAAGAATGTTCCCAAGAGACAGAACTCAAAATTTCCTTGAGTCAGCTGTCTACTATAGCGCTGACAGAACAATTCATTTGAAAAAATTCTTCCTCACTGTACTCTGTTGAACACTTACAATGAAATCAGTAGGCCAGAAGGAGTATTGGCAAGACCCTAAAATGAAATATTGTATATAGCTCTCCTTAATTGCCACATCAAAAATTAAGTCAGAAAAATGGAGAAAGAAAAGTGCAAAAATGAAGAGAAAATACCTTACTATGAAAAACTTAAAACTGCTCAATCTCTTAAATTTAATAGAAACAAAGAAATATTCAGTGCCTACTTGTGTTGGTACGTATTAGATGCTAAAAGGCCCTAATATTTAAGGCAAAAAGTGCAACAAGAATTGATGGCTGAAAATGGAAGCTAGACAAAATGAAATTTAGAATTAGGCACAATTTTTAACAGTAGGGTAATTAGCTATTGAAACAGACTGTCTCGGAAGTGAGGAATTTCTTATTTCCTAATATTGATAGTTAGACAGAACACAGAGTGCTCCATAATATAGAAAAGTTCAGACTAAATGAGCTGGTGGTTTCTTCTCACTTTACTGCTCTGAGTCCTATTTCTTCTCAGTCATAAAACACGAAAGCACAGAAGACTCTGATGTCACATTGGAAAACCAGGAATAAAATAAATTTAAAAACAAAAGTTAAGCTAACAGACTAAATCAGGAATAGTGTTTCCTATTAAGAACAGTACTAAAGCATATGCTAAATTTTAGCACCCATAATTGCTGTCCAGATAGGGACACGTTTGTCCAGATGGGAATTCGCTATATTAAATGACTAGCTTTTCAACCAAAGAAAGGCAATCATCTCAAAATTCCTTATTGCTCAAATAGTCTGACTGTTCTAGACAGCAAATAATCTTACAAAGACTTGCCATCTGATTTATATAAAATCTGTGCTTTTTTACTTGCATCAATCATTGTACGCTCCCTATAGCGACATAAAACCAATACAAACAAAAAGGCCAGGAAAAAACTTTACTACTCTAAACACACTTTGAAAAACATAGATTGTCCTCACAAGTCAAAAATGTAGTTAAAATTGAAAAAGTCTGGATGTTTCAACTGTTTCTTAAAAGAATAAAATAAAAATAACAATCTTACCTTTTGTTGTATTAATACACAACACAGTAGCCCAGGGAACTGCTGCACATGAAATGAATCAGAAAATCCTTTCCCTATACTTCTATCAAACATAAAACAATACAAAATAACTTTTTTTTCATAAAGAATGTATTAAACTGTCCAATTTTTCCCACAAGAACATTTTAAAAACATAGCCTATATAAAAATTATTTTATATTTACCATGGGAAGAAGACTTTAACATATTTAGGTGCAGTGAAAATCAATAGCACCTGTATATACTTACATAAAATTTGTTGAAGATATATAAGGAACTAATGGAACATGGTGTCCCATTACAGCAATCCCTGATCCTCTCCATGACTTGAATGTCTGTACGCTGCAATTTGCTTGGTTTTTTCCAGACATCCTAGACTCGCACTGCAAGTTCCTCACACTTTCCATGTCACTTACCTACTTTTGTTTTGGTGACAGAAGGGGAAAAAGCAGCAAATCCTATGAATAGTTTGAATTACACGCTGTAGTACAGCCAGTAGCTGCCAAAAGGAATAGGTAGTGCCTGAGTTCTGTCTGCTCTACCCTGGGTCCCTCTCTCCTACATACCCATTTGATTTTAACAAATCTTGAAGAAACTAAATATTTGATAAAATGGGCTTGGAATTGATCAGCAGCTTCAAAACTTGTTATGAGCAGACAGAGTACGATCAACTAAACCTAACCACAACAATACCTTAAAACATAACACTGTGACTTCCCCCAAACTGGACAGATAAAATCATTAAATAAGAAACTGAGAAACAAAGAATATAATACAAGGCTCCATAATCCTATTGTTTTTTTTTTTTCATGGTTCACACATTTTGCAGTTAATGAACCTCAAACTGTAATATTAAACAGCCTATTTCCATTCATTTCATTTATTATTTCATTATTTCATTTATTTATTATTGATTATCATAATTTTCTATTGAACATAATATTACAGAGAATTTTATTATTGGATACAAATGCTCACAATTTCTCAGATAACTCTGAGTTTATACTGCATTGTCAACTGGATTCAGGTACCAATTCTACAATGAATTCAAATGAAAAAACTCTATATGCAGCATTTAAGAGTCTCGGACGTAAGGACTAAAAATGGATACTGTAAATGCATCCAGTCTATAAGATGGTATTAACTGTCCATTGTAAAAGAGCAAGTGTCGTAACCAAATTGTGTGACATCACCACATCATCTACAATTTTCCTTCTAATTTTCTCCCTTTCACGACAAAACAGTATTTCTTCACATACTGCCCCAATGAACAGCTGAGGAGAATACATTACCTGCTATGGGATGTTCTCAATTGCATGTGGACTGACTGGCTAGCAGCAAGCCAAACTGAACAAAGTAACTCATGAAGTCATACTGAAACCTTCACCGCAGGGGATGCATTCTAATTTCAAAAGGGGCTATATAAATTAGCTAACACTTGATACACACTTTACTTCAATGACTTCAGTGAAATATATAATTATGTCTGTAAGTCAGCACTGCAGAAGTCAAAATGGCATTGACAGAAGGAGCCGGATTGTACCATGGCTCATATATCATCAAACGTACTGCCCAAGTACAAGACAGTTCCGCCCCTTTTGACAACAACGGACACCTACGCAACAAATTTGACCTCAACTACTAAAGTGTAGAAAAGGGCAAAATACTAAGCTACTCAATTCTTTGTAGAGATGGTGATGTCCAGAAAAGATGGAAAGAAAAAAAAAACCTGACCCCCAGGCCTTGAGTAGATTTGTAGATTACACAGTATTTTCTTGATTTACCTAGAAAGCCTTTTGCTTCTCTAGTGTCCATGTTAAAATTTAAATAAGTGCTTCATATTTATTGCCTATACTGTTCAATCCTGATAGTCCCACTCTCTTCCTGCACTGGCGGGGAAACAGTACAATATCCCAGCAACAACACTTCCCGTTCTTCCCACCAACGTCCGCATAACCTGGCTGCTCTACTTAAACTCTTCAGACTGTCATTAAAATAGCCAAAAAAAATAAAAGGTTGCTCGCGCCGC